CAAAGACTTTCGCTTTCTCCTGGAGGATGTTTTCTTTCTCTGCCCCATCCCGATTCCTCAGATCTGGCACACTAGTAGGCTAGGAACACAGAGGGGGGCCTTTGGAATTGCCCCAAAATGGAGAAGGAGGAGACACCATCTCAGCTGCACAACATGCCAGGGAGAGGTTAGCAGGAGGCCAAGTGGGCCCTGTGCAAAATCTGCTGTCACCAGGATAGCTTGTCCTCACTCCTGCCTCTCTGGGGGCTTCTTCTCCTCCCTCCTCACCTCTGGGACCTGAAGACCAAGCTCCCTCTAGCCGAGGAGCGAGGCAGGACAGAGCAAGTGCTTGTGAGCAGAGTGCCCGAGAGGATGGCAGTGAGGAGGGCTGTGTTAGGCCCTGATGTGGTAAGCCCTGCAGAGGTGCTGGGGGACAAGTCATAAGGTAGACAAGTTATCTTTTGAATCTTGAAAGAGATTGGAATAGGACTTTGACCCCAAAATAGGAGTTATAATGTGCTTATAGATTTGCATCAGTGCTCCTTGTGCTAACAGAGAGAGACTGTCCTGTCTCTGACTTCTATGGTAAGAGAGACACTGTTGGGTTCCGCTGGGTCGTAGGGACGGCATCATCTACGCAGAGGGAAATGTGCAGCACCATGATCTTGGGGAGAGTGGGGAAAGTGGACAACCATTTTCCTGGGGAGCTGGAGAAAGAGCTGCTGGGTGGGTCACAGGATGCACAGTGGCACATCTGGGCTCTATGGTGTGGCTACTGTGGCAGGTCTCCAAGGTGAACAAACTGTGGCAAGTTGGAACAACATATACATAGGTGAGAGAAGCCAGCAACTTCAGGGTGAAGATTGGCTGGGTGTGGTGGGTGAGGTGGATGCAGTGGGGACAGGAGGAAGCCCTTAGGGCAAGGACTTTGAAAACATTGGCAGGCTTCAGGTTGAGGGGCTGGGATGTGGAGCCTAAGTAGTGCAGGGAAAGAAGTGGGAGCAGAGGGGCAGGGAAGGAAGACAGGGAAAGGACCACTGTGGGGTGGTCGAGGGACCCAGGGCTGGTGATAAAGGCTGATTCATGGGAGCTAGCAGAAGAGCTGGAAGGACAGGGAGTTGCTGTTGGGGAGCAGGATATCAGATTTATGACTTCATGGGGGGAACTTCTGAGTAATCCGTGAGTCAGGAAGTGGCTGGGGCAGGGCCTCGACCTTTGTCATCACTGGGACCCTCGCTTTGATCCCACATTCGCAGGGCTTTTCTCTCTCCTAGTAGCATTTGATGCACCTCTGTTCCCAGAGCGCCTTTCTCTACTTTCTGATCCAACAAGAACAACTCATAGCATCTTTTCTTACTTCCGGAGAAATTTATTCCACATGTGTCTGATTCACTTGCATTTACAGAAACTCAGAATCTCCTGTGTCCAAAAGTCTTTCAACTATTTTTTTCCTCCCTTTCTTAGAAACAGGAAGTTTTGTTTGGCTGAGGACAAACTCAGTGCCCCTGGGACTTACAAGATGTTTGGAATGAGGAACAGTGAGGTCTATGGAAGGCTTCTTCACTTTCTCCTTTCCTGGGGCAAATGTGCATCTGCCAGGGGTTCAGTGGGCAGCTGCAGGGGAGCCAGAACTCTGTGGTCTCCCCTCCCTGAGCCCACGGCCTGAGGGAAAGAATGTTCCAAAAGAGACAGGTGGCTTCCTCCCTGCCTGCTCACACAGTGCCGTGTGGAAAGCCCCGGGACACCGAAAGGCCCCTGTTTTCCCAGTGGGGGAGCAGTCGCTGTAGGAGCCACCTTATTTGTGGGAGAGGTGGAGGTTGGTCAGCGCTCTGCTTAAGCTAGGCCAGCTTCTTCCTAAGGGTAGAGAGAATCTCCCATCTAAGAGGAGCAAACCAAAAAGACATGGCCCTGATTGTAAAGGGCAACATCTATTTTAATAAGCCTGGCCAGGCCATTCTAAAATGTTGATTTAGAAGCAGACTGTTATGGTTTGTGTTTAGTTGTCTGCCCAAAGCCTCAAGCAGTCCTGGGGAGGACTTCTAGAGCTTGTGATTAATTCATGATCCAAGGCTGGGATTATGAGTCTGAGTACTTCTGGTATTATGGATGTGAGTGCTACACCCAGCCTGGGGAGGATAGCGTGAATGTAGTAAGACGGACAGAGAGACAGACTTGCTCTCTGCAGTCATTCTTGTTACTCTTCCCTGTTGCTCTTGTTTTGTTGTCTTCCACCACCATGAAAAGTTGCCCTCTGCCATGTGCCACTCTGCCTTGGAGCCAGCTGAGTATGAACAGAAACGTCCAGTGACTGTGAGCTGAGTAAACCTTTCCTTCCTTTGTTTTGGGTGTCAGGTAGTTGTCCCAGCAGTGAGAGAAGAGTAACTGAGGCACAGACACAGACTTTGAAGGGGCCAGCAGGGCACAGGGAGAACATGAAGCCCCAGCTCCACCAGCCTACTCAATGGGCACTCAACTTTAGCTCCCCTGAGTGTGTCAGCTCATGTGGTTTAGAATATTGTTTTTAGGCTAGTATTGCTTCCTTCTTCCATCCCTCCTCCTCATCCTTTCTCTTTTTTTGTTTTGTTTTTTTTTTGCTTTTTGACACAGGGTCTTGCTATGTAGTTCAGGTTGACCTTGAACTCACTATGTTGCTGAGGCTGACCTCAGGCTCATGGCAATCCTCCTGCCTCAGCCAACTGAGTGCTGGGATTACAGGCATGTGCCACCAAGCCCAGCCATCCTCATCCTTCTTCTTGTGGTGCTAGGGCTTGAACCCGCGTACTTGCTCACGTTAGACACGTGCTCTCTCAGTGAGCCTCCTGGAACATTCTCCCACGTAAAGAAAATATGGCCACAGTATTTGTTACTTTAGTGATTGCCTACACTGAGCCGGCAAAAATGTCAGCTTCCGTGGTGGCTTCTTCCATGTTCCTCGCTGCTTTCCAAAGTCGCAAGCTCGGCCAGCAGACCGCTGCTGGGAAAACGTGTTGTGCACAAGGCGTGCTTCCGGGCAGAGAGACACCCTGTCCTCCAGCTGCAGCCCCCAAAGGAGAGCAAGCCTCTGTGTACACTTCTCTAGGACAGGAGCAGTGCCTCTCACCGCCCCTGCGTTTCATTCTAGCACCCTGGACAATGTGTGCTCAGGCCCCAGGGCTGCCGACAGGCTACCAATGGTAGAGCAGCAGGTGGGGGGTGTTGGGTAGGGATGCGCCTCTCTCCACATGGTGAATTCCCTCCTCCAGTTTGTATAATCCTCTCACCAGCTAGAGAGGAACGTCAGGGGCAGAGCCAAGCGTCAGACAAAGATCCACTTGTCTTAAGGATGGCAAGTGGGAAGCGAATCTTGATGCTAGTGTACTACCTTTGAACTGTTCCTGGCAGCAGCATGGAGGATCCAGATGTATGATCAGGCTAGGTGCTGAGTCTAGGCTCTACGGACTCCCATTGGACAGCACCGATGGCAGTTTCTTTCAGGGGCAATAGCTGGAATACGTACACTCTCGGCAGAGGAAACGTGGTCTTTCCTCCTCTGGGTCTAAGAGGGTAGCTGTGCTTGGCTGGGGCCAGTGGCGGTGTGGCCTCTTGCTGCAGCCCTGTTTTCTGAGTCCCCGAGCTGCAGCTGTTGAATTTCCAGACACAAACAAGTATGCATTCTGTGAGGCACGCTGAAGCCACAGCACGGGAGAGCCAAGCTGGATTCCATTCCGCTTTGCACATCAGCAAGTCCGCTGCCAGCTGAACTCCAGGGCAAAATCTGTGCCTGGTAACGATGCAGGCGGCAGGGATGGCACAGCTGGCCTGACACGAGCAGCAAATGGGGGACGCATTTGTCCGTAATGACTCGGGGGCTGAGGAGTGGAATGAGATGAAGACTCGGAGAAACAGCCAGCACTCATCACAAAACCGAGCCACAGCAAGGAAATATGTGCTTTCACTCGTCACCGACTGACCTCTGTGTGTGTGTGTGTGTGTGTGTGTGTGTGTGTGTGTACATGTGCTTGTTTATGGTAGGTAAGCTCAGCCTCCCACTCACTAAGAGGACTAGGCAGACAAGGAAAAGAGGTCAGGTCTATGTCAACTGCCACCAGGCAGAGACCAGCTAAGTGGGACAGAAGGGGTAGCAATCCTATTGATCTCTTTGTGCTTCAGGGGTCTGAGCCCTCCTTTACATTGGGGCTCTGCTAGCACCTTCTCTGTCCTTCTCCACCTGTTTGAGAGGAGCAAGGAAGGAAGGACAAAGGGGTCAATAGTGTTGAAAAAGGAAGATGCAGATTTTTTCCCCTGTCTTTTCTTAGAATGCCATTTCTTGATATCTATTCTTCTCACTCGTTCATGACCAAAGACTATGTCCCTATAAGGAACACTGTGCCAGAGTTTATCTGAGCCATAAGTGGCACAGAGCTAAGGGGCAAGGGTGGGGTGGGGGTTGGGGATACCAAGTGGGTTTCTGATGCCTGGAGGGGGTGCCATTCTGTGTCAAAGGGCTTACGGGGACAGTTTCAAGTTGCTTGGGCCGAAAGCATTGTGAGATGTGGATGAGATCTGGTACGAGTCAGGAGGACAGCAGATATGGACATCTCTAGGATGTGTTACCTAGATGTAGTGTTAGAATTCCTAAAATCCTAAGAGGATCTTGTGTCTGGCCTAAATAAACAAGACAAGCTAGCCTGTGATAAGACGGGGCAGCTGGCAGAGTGGGATTCTTCTCAAGAACAACAAGAGGCACCATGTAACCATCGTGCCCTCTGGGCAGTCCTGATGTCCGCTGCACTTTGGAAACCACCGGACTACATCACGCTGTGCACAGCTGTGTGAGTGAGCTGGGCCAGTGGGCCTGCTGGAACCCCAAACACCCACTTTCTTACTGAAGGCCTGAAGAGATCCATGCCGGACTGCCCCGTGAGTGCACAGGTGAGCTGACCCAGGTTTGCCCTTTGTCTTGGGGCGCTAGGTCCCCTGTCCTTTCCAGAGAAACAATGAACCGGACCAGACCACTGCATTGGTGCAAGACCACACTTTAGTTCAGAGACAAATTTGCATAAATACTTGAAGAGGGTCCGCCCCAGCTGGTGGTGGCCTGAGAACACGTGGCTCTCCACAGCCTCATGATGCTGCTGCAGCCCTTTACATGATAGATTTGAACACTGAAGACAGTTGTGACTGTCCCAAGACCCCTGGGGCACAGCGGAGGGGCTTCTTTTGACATTCATTATCGACTTTCTGCCCCACACCTCTCTTGAACTATTCTTTCCCCTCTGAGGTAGATGATTTATCAGGGAAACCAATAGAAAAGAGTTTCGTTTTTCATTTAGCCTTGTGAGTCCTTTGAAGCAGGCTGGCTCTGAGTCTCCTTTTTGGGTCAATAAGTGCATTTTACCTTTTAACACATGCCTTCTGCTTGCACCCCTGAAAGTTCCAGTCTACTAGGTAGTTGATTTTCACTCCGACGTCCCATCCCCTGTTTGCCACCCCTTATGAATTAGGCAGCACCCAAGGGGCTGTGACAATGGGAGGCCTGGGCAGGTCTAGCTACTTGATAAATGACCCTGTCTATATCCCAGGACTGCAAGTCCATGAGCACAAGACCCTCCCCTGCCATGGGATCGTAGGGGGCACTGCTGGCTTCTGCAGGGCGTGGGAGCTCAGGTTGCAAGAGCCCTGCTGCAGGTGACAGATGCCTGGCCTGAGTGGTCTCTGCTTTCCACTGTGTGCTGCTGCCAGCCAGCCCTGCTGGAGCACTCAGTCCCCAGCACTCACTGAGTGAGGAGCAGTGGCTGAATGATGTTGGGGGTTGTTCTCTCTTTGCTGTTCTGTATGCCGAAGTCCATGTCATTCGGAACAAAGAAGGTATATTTGACTCTGGGGGCGGGGAGCTCACCAGGGACAGTCAAGAGCTGCACGGTCAAAGGCTCTGAGAGGGGCCGGAAGCTCTGGAGCCGCTCCAGGGAGGCCATGGAGCCGCTGTACTTTAGGATGGTTCCATGCACTAGGATGTCCTGCTCCGTGGCAGAGATGGCCAGGTTGCCATTGAGCAGGTACCGCCCATCGGCAGTCTTCAGAGCCAGGTAGTTGCCATCGTTCTGAACCCCGGGGTGGCTCCGCTGTTTCACGTCAATGTTTGTGGCACCAGCTGGGATGGTGATGATGTCATTGTAGCCATATCTATGACAGAGACAGAAAGACAGGATGTTAGCACAGGAGGCGACTTAGCTTAGGTCCTGAGGGTGCATTGGAGGCTGAAGCTTGTTGGGGGTGGGCAGATGAAAACGATCAACAAACAGAGAAGCGACAGCCCACAGTCTAAACTCAGCTGCTGAGGCAGACAGGAGTGTCTTGTATGCTGGGATTTCCGAGGGTCTTGTTTTGCCTGGCAACTCGCCTACCAGTGTTTGAGTTGAGGAGCTGAGAGGAGTGGATCTTGGTAACAGCAATCAGAAACCTTAGAAGGGTTGAAAAGCTGCTTGGTGTAGCCAGATCTAACAGCTTACAGCTCAAATGAGGTGCAAATACACTGACTTCCTGCAGTCTTGATTAACTACACTTTTCCCTCCTTCCCTGGGGAAAAACCCATGGAGAAGAATCTGATGGCCTCGCCCAGTCCCGAATCCAACTAGGACAGATGTCTAATTCCACTGAGCCCACCACCAAGAGGGTCCAGTTAGTGTGGACTTGGGGTGGGACTCTGGGGAACAGCCTGCCTCGTAGGAAGCAGCTTCTGAGTGTAGCCAGGCTCCAGGAGGCTCATGTTCTCCAGCAGTAGGATGCTGTTTGGGGGAACTGCTTCTGGTCCTTGTAGGTACAGGGCTTTGCGTGGGGTGGACGGGGCTCAGTTCTTCGTTCCATTCTGCAGGCTGGGCAGAAGGTGAGCAGTGTCGCCAAGGACACTCAGCTCAGTTCTCTGTTGTTCTTGTTTGCCCCGCTGGAGTCATTGCTTGGTTTGGGGCTATGACAGTATTGAAGGCCCAAAAGCCTGGTGTCTAAGAGAAAGTGATTATGTGACCTACGATCTGAAAGCTCATGCTTTTTTTTCCCCCCTATATATTGGAATTTAAATTGAAAAAGACTTTTCAATCTTCTATAGGATAGTTCTGTTCTTGAGACGGGTGAGATAAGAGATATGCATATACACATACCTGCCACTTATGTATAATATAAACTAAATACTATATAACACAAACTTGTATAAATACATATTCATAAATATGTGCATTTCTGAAGAATATATATTGTGATGTAAGTAGGTTGGGTGGAGGCCGGGGTGCTCCTGTACCTGCTGGAAAAGCCATGTATGTGCCAAGTGCCAGACTGGCGGAGTGTGGACTGGCGGAGTGTGGACTGG